AAACCAACATAACTGAACAGTCTCACAAAGAAGTCACGACCATAACACGATACTCTAACTCTATATAAGACCTAGAGACAACATCACATTTCTTACTTATCCATGAGATAAGTGGATCTCCAAGGAAAATACAGAAACTAGTGGTGGATTTGCGACCACTATGATCGTCATCACAATTAACACTACTATACACATGCAAATCTAGAGAGGACATCGAAGGAACTAAGAGACGCTGAAATTGAGTGTCATGATGATATCACAAAATACAACTAACAAGTCCTAGTGAATAGTACCATAAGTTGTCAAACTAACTAACCACATGAACTACATGAGTTATGTCCTAATTAGTGACCATAACAAACTGCCCAAAATAGTATGACATATGCTTGAATTTGGTAAAGGAACATCATCAGTCGGAGAATATCGGGTATTGGTTCCAAGGAGTATGTCAACAATCCTATTGTTAGAGAGTTGTGCACGTTCAAACATATCATATATGTATTTTGTTTTAGATAGAAGAAAACCCTTTTGAGATTGAGCAACCTCAATACCCAAAAAATAACGCAACAAACGAAAGTCTTTCATAGCAAAACGAGGAGCCAAATCACTTTGCAAATACTCAATGTCATCACAATCATCACTAGTAATAATCATGTCATCTATATATAAGGCTAGGAGATATGACATTCACTTATGCATCTAACAAACAATATCAAATCATGATTACTATGAATGAAACCAAGATAAATAATTACCATATAGAATTTCTCAAACTAAGCATATGGTGCCTGTTTGAGACCATATAACGCTTTTAGAAGCCGATCAACTCTAACCGCTAGTCAGTATTTACCAGTGTTGCAGAAATCGGGCTTGGCGGCCGATTAGTCGGCGATTAATCGCTTGGCGGCCTCGAACCGATTATGATTAGGGTGCTTGGCGGAATTGGTCAAAATCGGTCAAACTCGGGCTTGGCGGTCCTTGGCGGCCTTGGCGGTCCTCGGCGGTCATAGACGGGAAATATTTAAAAAATTCATAAAAAATAATTTTCAAATATTACACCAAAATTTTAAAATTTTAAATTTTTAAGCTTTCAAATTTTAAAATATTATACTAAAATTTTTAAAATTTCAAAATTTTAAATTTAAAATTTTCAAATACTTAATTTTTTTAGGAAATATTAATTTTTCAAATAATTTTATTAATAATTTAGGGTCCCCGATTAATCGCCGTTTAATCCCCGCCGAGTCTGATTAATCGCTTATCGTCAGTCGACCGCCGAGCTACCGCCGAACGATTTTTACAACCTTGGTAAATACTTATAGAAGGAGTCATGTAGACTACCTCATGAATATCGCCGTTCAAGAATGCATTCTTAACATCCATTTGGAATATCTTCCACTGACGAATGGATGCAACTAGCCAACTACCATCAGAATACGAACGGTCATTATTTTTGCAAACGTAACAAAAATCTTTTCATAAAGAATACCACAAAATTTGTGAGTATCTTTTTCCAACAAGTCTGGCCTTGTACAGTTCAACTAGCCCGTCAAACTTGGATTTATTATTATTTACCCAATAATAACTGATTGTATGATTTCTTTGTAGTGGACGGATCCGAACCCTACATATTAGTTTGGTAAGAGTTGTAAGCTCCTCAATCAAAGCATCGTGCCAAAGGGGATCAACAAAGGGGATCAAAAACAATTTCTCTATAGGACTTGGGTTCTAGCAGTTGATGTATATTGGAACTAAAGGAAGCAAATGAAGCTGAATAAAAGGAGTAAGCAAAATTTGGGAGTTTGGTAGCTTTTCGACTCAGATATTACTTTGAAGACTATGTCTTTTTGGAGTGGGTACAATATTGAGTCTAACGTACAATGTTAAAACTTGTTGTAGTCAAGATGTTGTGTATATTGATGACAATAATGACTTTTTGGGTGAGTATTTTGGTTAATCAGAGAACCCATTAGCTTCAACAGAAATGGAGTTAACAATATATTTGAACGAGGCACCAAACCAATACGTTAAGAACTTTGATATTCTTCTTTTGTGGAAAACTAATGCATCCCGTTACCTAATTGTCTCGCGGATCGCAAAATGTATAATTTTAATTATTTATATATTTTATTATAGTATTTTTATAATTTCAGATTTTATATGTTTATGACGTTAGATGTTTTGGGCATTCAAATCTCTATTGTGGCATCCCAGTCGGCTTTTAATACAAACGACATTGATTTGTACCCAAGATCGGGTAAGAATATCAAAGAAACCGTTTGTAGATGTAGACAATAACGAAGACATTTTTAAAGATGATGACGTTATTAAATGTAACATTTTCATATTATTATCTATTAACAAAACATTGGTTATATACTCATTTTCGCATTAATTATTTTTCGATATACATTAGATTCGAAAGATGTGATACGCAATCAAAATAGAAATAGAAAAAAGCTCGGATTACCGATTTGCACCCAAGATTGGGTAAAAATATCAGAGAAACCATTTGTAGATGCAAACAATAACGAAGACATTTTTAAAGATGGTGACGTTATTAAATGTAACATTTTCATATTATTATTTAACAAAACGTTGGTTATATACTCATTTTCGCATTAATATTTTTCCGATATATATTAGATTTGGAAGATGTGATATGCAATCAAAATAGAAATAGAAAAAAACGAGTAGTCAGATTTTTTTTTTAATTATTATTATTATTATTTTATTTTTTTGCTAAATGATTATTGGTTTGTAAGCTATACTTCTTTTGAACTTACATGTAATCAAATTTATAATGTAAATGATATTCTCAGGGTTTAAGTTTTCCAAATATTGGTCAAGATTATCCTTATTGTCTTCTTCATCAAGTCGGCAATAACATTTTATATGATCAATATTTTATTTTGAATTATAATATTTGAAATATATTTTTGTCTGATTGTCAATTGTTACTACATTACTTTTGTATGGATATTTAAAATTAATCGATAATAATTCTCTTTTTAAGTCGAAACAAGCTAATTCTCATGGCATTGTTCTCAAATTTCCACAGAATATCCAGTAACAGTTTGTAGGATGTAAATCACAATCAACATCCCCAACAACACTTTGGGCCAATGGTTTTGACCCAAAATCATTGATTTTTTTTCTTAGTATATTTAAAATGTTAACGGTTTATATTTTCATAGTATATCTGTCAATAACAACAAACTATTTATTCACTTTATTTTATTTTTTTAAGTGGCACATGATTATTCACAACAACATTGAAACCATAGTTCGTTATCATTCACTAAAATATGCCCTATCCCTTTCCTCCAACCAACCACTTCTCACTTTTCATTTATTTGTCGCCGAATTTTCTATATAAACCGTGGTATGTATAGCACCATCATTTCGATTAGGTCTATAGACAAATTAGGTTGTACTGTCTGAATTGAACTGACAACAAGACTAGATCAGGTTGTACTGTCTGAATTGAACTGAAGACGAGACTAGATCAGGTTGTACTGTCTGAATTGAACTGAAGACGAGACTAGATCAGGTTGTACTGTCTGAATTGAACTGAAGACGCGACTGATATCAATTTGACGTGGTATGTATAACACCATCATCTCGATTAGGTCTACAGACAAATCAGGTTGTACTGTCTGAATTGAACTGACAACAAGACTAGATCAGGTTGTACTGTCTGAATTGAACTGAAGACGAGACCGATATCGATTTGACAAAGATTTTAACTTTTTACTCTACCAAAATTTTGATTTCTTATCTATGCAAAAGACATGAATATCCTCCCTTCCATCATCACCGGTGAAAATAGCCTACCAAATTTGTTAGTCCAGTCTAGTCTTATCCTGTCTAATAAATAACGAAATGGACTAAGACCTCAAATATGAAGGCGAGTGGAGAATTTGACCTAATTTTTACTAGAATCTTTTTTTATTAAATAATTGAATATTCCTCCATGGAAATTATTGATTTGATAATGAAGGGTAGCCAGCTATGTTGGCCCTTAAGTAGTGCAAACAACCAAAGGACAAAACTTTTACATGTTCACGAATGTAATGCATGCATTAACATTCTCTCACCAATAATAAACACAAAACAATAGTTCATCTAGATAATATTATAACACACTATCTGTTTTTTTTTAACAAAAATCATTGTTTTTGTTCATTAATTAACAGAAGTTCCATTTGTTTACATGTTAACCACCCCCCACTCTGGTATAAATGTATAACACATTGTAGTTTTGGAAAAAAAAAAATCTTTAAAAAATGTATGTTCAGAATATGTGAGAGCACAGTGAATTATTAAAAGTAATGAAAGTGAGATGGCAAAACAAAAGAAGCATATAAATCCAAAAGCTAAGGATATAGAAAGTGGTGGTGGGCTATAGAAGAATTGGCCAGCTACAGCTACAAACAATGAAGAAAAAGATACCCTAAAACCCCAAAATTATATCCACTCACTTTTCACTAGTAGCAAATCTGGCATTTCCTTTGGATTCTTCTCACACAAATCTGAGCCCACTCACTCTAAACCTAATCTCATCATCAAGAATCTATCACTTTTTGGGTAAGTCCATCCACAACAAGCTCAATTCCACAATTGCATACACATTGATGCTGATTGTTGCATATCTACATACAATGTGCCCAAAATTCGATTCGTTCATTTTCATATTCATTGATTATCATATTATATCTGTTTGGCTAAAGTCTCTTTCTTGATGCTATTGCTAGCTTTTAACGAAATGATAATGCAAATGTGGAATGAAACATTTGAATTTGTAAGAAACAATGAGATGGGAATTGGGATGATGAGTTGTAGAGTAGAAGTTATTAGTTTTAAGTTTTAACAGCTAGAATTATTGATGTACATTAGCAAGATAAGGGAACTCGAAAAGATTAACACTATATGCATACCATTTATGGAAGTTACAGTAACTAGAAATTTACTAAGGAAACTGACCGGTGGAGTAAGAGTTAGAAGGAATTCATTTCAAGGAGATAACTCCGGCGTTTAATCAGCTTCTCCACGGCCTCTCCATAGACGCCGTCAAACCTACTACCGGCAGCCACCAATCCTTCATCCCACCTCTGCTCCTCTTCTGCTTCCTCCGTGGTGCCATTGACCACACCAATTGTGTTCATTGTAGGTCTCACGACTACCAGTGTCGCACCTTCCATTGTTACACCGTTGGATAGCTCCAATTTTGCCTCGTGTCTCATTCTCATCCACACGGCGGGCACTCTTGTTCGGTTACTCCTCCACCATACACCACCGGCATTTAGGTTACCGTTTTGTGCTTCGTCTTCGTCTTGATTTTCGCCTTTATCTTCTCTAAACTCTTTGATTCCCTGATTCATCGATAATCACAGTTCCTTCACCGTCTCTATCTTTGATTATCAATCTTGACAAGTGTAGGTTTTCCTTGACAATTTCTTTCACCATGTAATGCCTCGCAGACGCCGCAATCAACGCGCTTATCGTCCAAACGACTCTCGTCTTCAAACCGCCGCCGCCGCCGAGATCCGATTCCCCTACGCCGCCACAACGATGTCCTAAGATCACGCAGCTCCTCAACGTCTTCCCAAACTCTGCCTTCCACTTGATCCCCGCTCGTTTCTCTAACCTCAGATCTCCCGTCGGCAGCTCGATCTCAAGCTCTTTAATCCTCTCAAATCCACGAAGGATCATCGCCGGAGAGTTTTGCGATTGATGCTGATTGCTACTGCTTTGCAGCGTATGATCTTGAGGAGGAGAAATTAGGTCCTGGATTGACTTGACAATGGATTTGATGAAGCCTATGACGGAGGAGGCGTCTCCGTCGTCTTCAGAGTCAACTGAGGAGATAACTCGGTCGACTCGGAGGAGGAGCGAGTCCGTTTGGGGTACAAGTGTGTTGAACCGGCGTGACACAGCACGGCATCGGATTAGGGTTTTAATATCGGAAATATTGTTGAAGATTATGAGGATGATTGGGTCGGGGAGGCAATCGAGGCCGTCGGTGGCATTTTCCGGCTGCGATTCCATTAAGGAAAGTGGCACCGGCCGGAAAGAGAGTGACGGATGAACGGAGATGGGGGGTGGAAGACCAGTGAGCATTGAGGAAGCCATAGATTTGACCGTTTGACTTTTTATAGAAGGGGGAGAGGGACTTATTCTAATTGGGTAATGCCGGCTTTCGATACTTATTGGAACTTATTCCTAACCAATTTCAAATAAATAAATAAATATGTAACTACTTATTTTTTTATAAATAAAAATAAATTTTTTCTCTATAAAATCTTCAAAAATATTAACCCTAACATTTAAAAACAAATCAAAAGAATTTTATAATCAAATATAACGTGTAAACTTAAACTAATTTTTAGTTTAGTTTATAAAGTAGCTTATCGTTAAACTATCTAAAATACAATATTATAAATTAGATTATCACTTATCGTGTTAAATGCAGTCAAATAACCTATTTATTAATAATATCAATAAACAAGTTAGCTTTACAACTAACTTAAGCATATTAAATACAACCTATAGCAAAATAGATATGTTAAACTGAATGCCCAAATCAAATTAGATGTGTTAAATTGAATAAAGAGTGAAACAAATACAATGTAACACATGCATAAAACAAATAATCTAGTTAATATTATACATCCAATAAACAAATATGTGGCACTACACAACCATTCACCATATATAAATCAATATGTTCTAAGTTTTCTACTTTTCTAATAAAAATATGTTGACACCATTTGTAGGGGACATCACTTATCTATTGTACCTTTCATGGGTGGTTAATTTCATGGGCATCAAAGATTACATAAACGATGTGTGTCATAATGCATATGGCGACACTATACAATATAAAAATAATTCGATTACTAAATATCTCAATATGAAATAAACAACTAATACTTCATGATATTGTGTCAAAACACATGTACATCATGTTGAGTGTAATGAGTCTTAAACAACAAATCCTTGTTTTGAAAATTATAAAAATGGTTGAAACATGTTATAATCGAAAGATACGTGTTGGGAAAGTATTCAAGATTTTTATTTTAAGTTTTCTTAGTAGTTAAGGATTTGAATTTTTTTTTAAAGTCGCACAAATTAATTTTTTGAAACATCGAGTCATGTTGTACGAAATCAATCATCAAAAGTACAATTCGAAACCTAAATCAAACTTGGAATTGTGTAAACATGTATGGAGTTCACATCAAATTAAATATAAGTAACTCAAAGATCAATTTAAGTTCCTAAGCCTATGGTCCGATTGTTGGAGTGAATAGTACTCTCTCCAAAATATGACAAGAAAATAAACACACATTTTGCAAAACGGTATATGAAAAATGATGAATAGTCAGATACCCTAGCATGCATATACACATGGTTACGTATACTTGTAATGACTAATGAGATCTTAAATGTGGGAAACAATATCGAGCACCTTTTGTCATCTGGTGAAAAGTACAATCACTTTTCAGAAAAAACACGGTTGCTACTGTGCAAACAGTTAACTATTTTTGTATTTATAGTGTATATCCCATGCTAATTTTTTGCAAAAGATCTTATGCAAGATGTGATACCATAAATGCTCATTTGTACATCAATTTTGCCTTCAATCTGAACAGTCTCTTGACATACAAGTATGTATCAACTTTGACTTACAAAGAGTTTTCATAAATCCTATGAACAATCTGTCATGTCTTCATTCTATCATTTGATTTCAACTAAGTCCTGAAACTGCTTATCATAAAATCTGGTAGTTACTAAAACTTTGTTAGGCTTATAAGGATATTGGTTTTTACAAAATAACATGTTATTGTGTTTCTGTCATCATCATCACTTTTTATATTTAGGACAAAAATATATGATATGTGTTAGCTACTATGTAACGTCCGTAGATCCGGGCTAGTCAATTTAGAGATAATAGGGGTCGAAAACGACTTTTCAACAAAAGATTATTTAGAATAAATAATCTTAACATAGTTGTAGAATATGTCTCAAGGGTTCCGTACATATAAAGAACGCCGAAATCCGAGTTATAACGAAGAAGTTATGGTACGTCGAAGTTTTTCGGCAAAACCGGCACGACACGTGGAAACGTAAATAGTGAATTTATGATAGATGACTTTTTAGCCTTAGTGATCTAAACAAAAGTTGTAGTATACGTTAAACCGAGAACATAAAAAAAAAGAACGCCCAAATCTGACTTCGTATGAGGAAGTTATGAATTTTCTAAGATTTGGCATAGTAGTGCACGGCTCGAAACTCGAATTTTAGTTCGAGCGGTTTTTGGCCTATGCAACCTAAATGAGAGTTGAAGATCTCATTAATAGGAACTTAACGATAAAAAGACAGACGAAAATGGAGTCCGTATGAAGGAGTTACGAATTCTTCGCGGTCATTTAACAATCTAATCTCCTCCTACTGTTAAATTTAAGATCGGTCCAGAATTAGCCGATGGAGTCTAAATGAAAGTTGTAGATCTTGTTTTTACCTACGCGTGGATATAAAGAACATCGAAAACGGAGCTCGTATGCGAAAGTTACGGGGTTTAGAAGTCGGCAAGGTGCTGTACGAAATCGGGTGACGTGGTTGAATGTGAGCCAAGGCTTTCTCCCCAAGGCAAGCCACCAGGTTGTGACACCTGGCCATGGACTCGATGAGTAGAGCAGGATTCCAGCCTATAAATAGAGGTGTCGGGTTCCTTCATTTCTTCACACCATTCCAACTTCTTCTCTCTCTCTCTAAACTCTCTCTCTCTCTAGCCCCCAAACCCACCCCCCCCCCTAAAGTCTAGTTAAACCCCCTAGCACCCGAAGGAAGCCCCGAGAAAAGAGCCTTTCAGCTCAGAAACTCTGCTCCGGCGGAGCCCGGTTTTCGAGAAAACCGCTGTAAGTGAGTTACGCCTACGCTATTTTTAATATAGCTTCTAATTAATTATAGTAACATTATTAGGACCTTAAAATAATTATTTGGGCTATTATTATGAGTTAACGCTTATATAATAGTAATAATAGCTAGACTATTAATTAGTCGCGGTTAACGTTGGACTAAACCCTAGAGGTATTGATACTAGGTTTTGTCAAGAGAAAATTGTTTTGAGATAAAGAAGTGATGTCCGAGTACCGAGTCACCACCTTACCAGGTGAGTGCATAGTTACTTTCATCTTACACATAGATATGAAGTATTTTATATAAACGACGTGCTATGTGTGCATATTATCTGTATACTTGCTATCTATGCTGGATGAACGATTTTATACAAGTTTTATATGATTTAAACTGTATATGTATTTATATCTACATAATATGTTGGGTAAAACATGGGTAGATGAAATATGAGTTGGATGACGAGTTGAGAGGTGATATAGACCATGAGGTAAGGGTGAGAGGTGGACGATGTGAGAAGCCTTGTTCCCAAATGCTGGCCCCGTCATCTAGCAGAGTATGGATGACAATCACGAACTATTCTAGACAGTTCAGTTGAACACTAGCAGGCTCGTAACCTGTAGGTGTTATGAATGATGTGTTCACCCGGTGTACTCTAAACCCTGGCGATCATGCAGACTTGGTGCCTAAACCTTGGCGATCATGCAGACTTGGTGCCAAAAGCCTGGCGACTATGCGGACTTAGTGCCTGTTGTATAAACCTTGGCGACTATGCAGACTTAGTGCCTAAAACCCTGGCGACTATGCAGACTTAGTGCCTGTTGTATAAATCCTGGCGACTATGCAGACTTAGTGCCTAAACCCCGGTGACGATGGACTTCGTGCTGATTCCTTAGGATGATCCTTAGGAATGAATGAACGAGAAATATTTGATTCTTAGGGTAGATCCTTAAGAGTAAAAGAAGATAATGGGGATGGGTAATTGGGTTGATTGTTTGATGTTTAAACATAATAATTATATTATTGTGGGTTGAAAACCCTGTGTACTCACCAGGTTTCCCAACCTGACCCACTCAGTTTATTTGAATCACAGGTGTCGATATGAAGTTACATTACACTGAGAGATTAAGGAGATATAAATCACTAGTGATAATGAATGTAAGTTCTGTTTATGCTTATGTTTTTGTATTGACGATGACATCCCAATGTTTTAAAAATGAATAAAATACATTTCTTCGGAAATGCTTTGATAACGTATTTATCATGTTTTTCTGGGAACAAATTCCGCAACATTTTTATTAAAAAGGGTACTCTGATTTTTATAAAGCATAAACAAAAAAAAATCGGTATTTTCTGGCCGTGAAAATGGGGATGTCACATACTAGCTAGCCAAGTTGTACCTAACCTAGACACAACCTTATAATAAATGTTTCTTCCATCTATCCTTAAGCTCCTTCGCTTATTATTAATTATTTAAGGGATAATCACGAAATTGATCATGATATTTAAGGGTTAATGACACTGTAGCACATCAACCTTTTTCCATTTGACCAATTTGGTCACTAAAGTTTTTTTTGTCAATTAAGTCACTAAAGTCATGTTTTACCTGTCATTTAAGTCATTTTCCCCGATTTTAAACGGTTTCCCGGTTTCCTTCTTACGTGGCTAAGTGATGTGTCAAAAACCCCTTACCTGGACTTCCAACGTGACACCTGACGTGTTATCTTCCCAATTATGCTATTAATTAAAACCCCGATTTGGACCTCATTCATTTCTTTCTTACCCCTTCATGAAAATTCGAAGCAAGCACCCTCCTTTATATAATCAATTTGTTCGATTCTTCAACACAATGTCTGCAAGCTCGTCCAATGCAAGAAATCGCCTCCACGTTGCTCATGTGTTTGTTAAAGACGAAGTTAACAACTGTGACTGTGATGTTACAGCTAAGGAACGGGAATGTTGGAAGCTCACTAACCCCGACAGACGTTTTTGGAACTGTAACAACAACTTGGTAAGCTTCGATCTAGCTTGATTTGTTAATGCAAGATTTTTTAGGGCTTCACTATCAAAAACCCATTACATTACGAAAAAAACCCTAAAAATAATTTTGATTATCTTGGGTTGTTGTCGTGATTTCATTTCTAAAAATACATGTATGATCGCGATTGTTTAAATGGTGTTGTAGTGTTAATCATTTTTTATTTCGTGGTTTCTTAAATTGCATTTGGTGATTAGTGATTATGTTTTGATGTTTTATTCATATGGGTTTGATACAGACAAGACTGATGAAATGTGATTACTTTGAATGAAAAGATGTTGCACTAGAAGATGGTTACTACAAAAACCTCATCTATTCTATGAAGCAGCAGTTTGATTCCAAAGAGGATCTTCGTGTCATAAAAAACTTGAGGACTAAGAATGTTGAGTTGGAGTTTCTCCCGAGTAAGGAGAAGAGTCTAGTGGCAAGCATGGAGAAGGGGATGTGTGATTCCAATAAAAACATACGTATGTACAAGCCGTTGGTAGTTGTTCTAGTTGTTGGGTATGTTTGTTTTGTTTTTAAGTTAGCTAATTAGTGTTGGGATGTGAAGCTTTTGGTGTAGCCGTTAGTGTTAGGTGTATGTATTAGGATGTGAAGGTTTTTTGTATCTTTTGTAAAGTCAACGTAAAGTGGTCATGTGCTGCATTTTGTATCTTCTATAAAATCCCAATGACAATTTGTAGTTAGCCTTAATGTAAAGTCCCAACGACATATAACTGGAATAGAAAGTTTATGTGGATAGTGGAATGGAATTGTTTATGTTAATGGAATTGTTTATGTTATTCAAAGGAAACATCCATGTATGGTTTCATTTCCCTATATTAATATAATTATATTGGTTGCAGTGGTCCTTGTGAAAGTACCAATTGTATGTGGACCATTTGCATACATAGTGGATGTTTTATAATTGGGGAAATGGGACCTTTCAGCCCATTAAAGTAATATATCTGGTACCATATACCACATTGACATTTATGCACATAATTACAAACTATTCCATGCAGAATATATAAAAAAGCCATCACCTTTTCTTATAGCTAAACACATTAAAAGACAACATTCTTCAATTAACTTAAAATGGCAACATACTATCATAGTTGCCAAAAATTACCATATTACACAAACACAAACACAAAGTCAAAATTACCATCATCCTAATAGACTTACATTAAATCCATATTACAGAAACACAAAGTCAAATATACACAAACCATAACACCCTACCCTAATCAATTATAAGAGCTTTTCCCTTAGAATTTCCTGGATCATCAACACCACCTACTGTCTTTCCTAATTTGATCTTCAATATTCTTTATGACTTTCTTCTCCTTATCCTCTTCAAAATATCTGAAATTGGTCTAACCTGCTGCACTTTCACATTAGGAACCTCAACAGTTTCCTCAACCACAACATTAACTATACCCTGACCATCTTCAAACACACCATTAGCTTGACCCTGACCATCTTCAACCACACCATTAGCTTGACCCTGACCATCTTCAACCACACCATTTGCTTCACCCTGACCACCTGCAACATTTTCAACCTCAACATCCTCACCAACAAAATCTTCATCTTCATAACTTCTAGGAGGAGTCACTTGCAAATATTGAGCACAGCCCCCTGGACTACTAGATTCAGAATCATTATGAGTAGCCTGGAAATCATTTTGAGTAGTATCCACCTAAATTGGAGTCAATTCAACCTCATCATGTTCTTGAGGTTCACTTGTACTAGCCTACATTATAGGAAATAATTGTGTAAGTGGATAAGCACATGTAAATAACTTTAAATAGAAAATGGTTTTACCTAGCCTGCTTTTTTCCTTGGATAAAGTTTTTGTTTCTTGTTTTTCCTCTTATTTACATCTTGGGGTCTTCATTGTGGACAAATAGCCTTGTTGTGACCTATCTCCTTGCATATACTGCATTCGATCTTCTTTCTTGCCTTAGAAACCTTGTGTTTTCCTTTATTCTATATAGTGGATTTCTTCCTACTAGTAGCTGGCCTACCAGGCATCCTTCTACTAATAGGAGGCAATGGTGGATCATAGTTGGTCTGTAGCCACTTGTCACTCCCATTCATAGGGGTAATTCTGTAACTGTATGCCTTCCTAAAGGTTGTGGTGTTATACATGTTGTCCACATAGGCTTCTACATCCCTATTAAGATATGATATGCTTGCTACAGAATGAGAACATCCATATCCATTCAATTGCCACAACCTACAAGAACATGTTTTCCTTTTCTAAGTTCACTTGATATGCATATGTTGCTCCCCTAACCTCAAACTGGTTTAATCCACTAGGCAGTACATGATAATGCCTCTGGACCTTCATAAGCAAATTCACCTTATCCCTTATTTATGTACAAATATGATTTCCATGTTGTCCCTTCAACCTCAGGTTGTACAATCTGTCCATCATGTACAATCTTATTTCCTCAAACATGGTGATTATGGGATTCTTCCTGGCATCTACTATCATAACATTAAAACTTTCAGAGAAGCCATTTTCAACTGCATCACAACACCTTCCAGGTTGAAAGAAAGCTCTACACCAGGTTTTTGGATCTTTGTCCATGAGATATTGATGGGCATTTGGGTTCAATGTCTCAATTTCCTTCATCACACCTTTAAAATCATTCTCAGTTGTAGCTTTTGATGCTCTCCAAAATAGTGTATGGTATATGGCCCCACTAAATCTCTTCTGCAAATTTTGGCAAATATGTCTAGCATACTGCCTGTGCTCTAGATATGGCAACAACTCCTTAACAGCCTCTATCAAACCCTGTAAAGAGAAGAAAATTTAAATCAAATAGTGTAAATTAAGTATACTTGAATTACAATGTAATAAACTAACCTTATGTTGGTCTGACATTAAACTAAATCCATTTCCTAAATTCAAGTGTAAATCCTCAATGAGAAGTTCCAAAAACCACTTCCAATTTTTCTTGTTCTCCACACATACCACAACCCAAGCAATAGGATATATCTTGTCATTTGCATCCCTCCCAACTGCACAAAGCAATTCCCCCTTACAAACACCTTTCAAAAAATAACCATCAATACCTATTATCCTTCTACATCCTTCCATCCAACCTTGTTTGACTCCTTGAAAACAAACATAGAACTTGCTGAAATACTTCTTTCCATCTGGGCTAGTTTCAACATCTAGTTTTACAGTTGACCCTGGATTAGTCCTCAGAATCTCATGACCATATGACCATAGCCTACCATAATGTTCAACAAGACTACCTTCAATAAGTTTTAGTGCATACTTCTTTGCTCTCTTGTATTGGCCCATGCTAACTTGGATGCCAAATTTTGTCATTACCTTTACCCTAAGCTTCCTTACACTTAATTTATGACTCTGCACAATTTCTTTCGTATAATGAATCCCAATCCATGCATATGTCACTAGTGACCCTAACTTGAAGTTCCTAGCACAATTATGATCCTCTTTTAGTGACTTGATTTGGAAACTCTGTTCATCACTCATCCAAGAAGCCCATAGTCTAAATGTGCAACCACCCTTACTACACCTAACCAAAAGTCTTTTCCTATCATTTTTTTTCAAAACAAAGTTCATATCCATTAGCCATTGCATAGTTACATAACATTGATTTAACTTGGGCTGGATCCTTAAATCTCATTCCAAGAATTGGTTTTTGTTTTTTCCAGTGTATCAACTCATTAAAAATTGCATGCATGGGTGGTTCATCATCATCTACAATGTTGTTATCCTCACCTTCATCAACACATAACTTATTCAGGAAAGGATCATTTAATGTCCTATTCATAATAACTGCATCCTCATTAAATTCCACATTCCCATTCCTAAGTTCATCTATATTATCCTCATTTTCACCATCAATACAAGACTCATGATCATCATCAGCCTCCTCATCATCAAACCACCCATCTACTCCCACTCCAACATGATCAATATAAACATAAATTACACCATCTGTTCCATAAGCATCAAATATAAAAGCAGCGAATTCCACATCATCTGAAATGGGATGAAGCCCATCCATCGGGGAAAGGCCTGGTTCACAGTAGTACATCTTTTTAACCTCCTCATGCATGAAACGTTCAAAGAAAGTGACACACTCAGAAAATGTCATTGAAGAAAAATCAACATCATTAAACATGGTTTTGACACCACCAGTGTAAGAGAAAAGATTTCGAGTAAACACCCCCTGGTAGTTGAGTTCCACCATCGCAAACAATCCATTAGGGTCCGGTTGTTCCATTCCACCGACTGCTTTGATTCTTCAGCTCAACCCCAAATATCCTTGAAAAGCCCTAGCTTAGTTTTGTGATTTGGTGATAAATGACAAACTCAGGTCGACCGGTGAAGCAAGTGAGTTTAAGTATCGACTCTTATACCATTAATTGACGTGGCAAATCCTACGTGTAATATTCTTACTACATAAACTAACTATTAAATGAAAGTAATTTACACCTAGACAAAGTCAACCAGGAAACGGTTTAAAATCGGGAAAATGACTTAATTGACAGGTAAAACATGACTTTAGTGACTTAATTGACAAAAAAACTTTAGTGACCAAATTGGTCAAATGGAAAAAGTTTGATGTGCTACAGTGTCATTTTCCTTGATATTTAACAAAGTGATCTCCTTTTATACATAGTACAAAATGATCATCAATTTCTCAACTTGCCATTTATAATTTGTGAAATGACAAAAATGGTCCATATTATTTATATAACACCCCTCGCTATGGCATATTTGAAATCATACTTAAGAAAATCATTTCTTAAGGTGTTCCCAAAAATATGCAGAGTTTTAGTTTGCGGAAAAATATTAGTTTGCGGAAAAATATTTTGGTCCCAAAATAGTAAACTTAATTCAAGTTTGAAAACTAGTGAGGTTGTTAACACTAAACATATCAAAACAGGATTCAAGCTCACCACACATTCCGTAGCCTTCTAAAAGTCTAAGCTAATATCTAACTCAAGTTAGGGTCTTCAATCTGAACACACATCAAAATAAGTTAGGCAATGGAATTACCTAGTGAGTTACCCGAAGGTGGTTCATTCAGAGTAAGGGATAGCAATCCAATCTTACTCAAACCAAGTCTCTAAAAACAGTTTAAAACATAAAGAACACTTAGCGTTTAATAACCCACATCATATCGACGAGTCTATATGCCCAAAATCTAAATTTCAAACAATACTAGTTCAAAGCAAATAGAACACTTGGGTTCAGTAATTCCAAATCAAACAATTGTCTTATATACCCCAAAATTAAATTTAAACATTGTTGTTTCTAAAGAGGGACATGTAAGTCCCATAATATACAAAAGGGTATAATGAGTTCATAGCAATAAGTATGATGCAATGCATGCAACTACTCTCAACCCTTACTAACAAACGTCAGATGAATAGAGCTTATGACAGACAAAACTGTCAACTTTGGCACTAACATCCTGCAATAAGGTATGATAGTTGGATATAAAGAGCCCATGACAGATGAAACTGCCAAAATTTGCAATTATATCCACGAAAAGGCAATATGGGTTATCTACCTAGGCCATAAAAGGGTATCTAGCCTCAACTTCTGTACGTGAGGATTATCTAAAAAATCTACTCACAACAAACAATACAAAATAGATGTCCATTTGCGCACACCATATTTCACGGTCACACCCATCCTACCATGATATGCATAAGTAGGATGCATAAAACAATTTCCAAAAATATAGTTTACATAGAAATCAATGTATACATATAATATCATATAATGAAAACCATCAAAACCTTATCAATATCACGAAAGTAAGGTAAGGGATATGTGTTCCCGATAACTCACATCGGTCCAATTCAAGCAATATCACAGTCTTCCTTACTTGACTAGATTTCTTAAACCAATATGCTTCCAAGTCAATCAACTAATATCATTGTCACAATGTTGTCAAAAGACCAATATACCCTTCTATGGGTCAACTCATCATTCTATGCTGACAATGTTCCTTAAGTATCCTAATATGAAGGATGGAAGCCGAGGAAACTAAAGGAATGAATCAGACTCGAGGCACAATCAAAACAGAAAGAACAAAAACAGGACAGGATGTCTGACACATTGTTCCCTTTTTAAGGATGCTTTGTGCTCCTTGTTTTGAATGCAGTGTTGTGTTTTAGTTCAAAAATAGTTTCGTAAACATGAAAAATATGGCAACGGAAGACTTTAATTTTTGAAATAACATAAACATTTTATACCCACCAAGGATATTCTTGCAAGTTGTAGAAAGATTTAAACACCAACCAAAGAAGAGGTGAAGAAATAACAACCTTTGTAGTTCTTTGGGTCCTCTTGGGAGGCTTGGAAGTTGATGAGGAATGTGGAACCTTTGAGACACCAACAATGACTCAACTTGATGTAGATGCTAGTATAAAACTCTTAAATTCTTAAGGTTTAAGTTCATAACCAATATGAACTTAAAGAAGGCATGAAGATGCAAGTATTTTTCAAGTTTTCTAACCAAAACTAGAGAGAATAGGAGAGAAATAAAAAATTTCAGCCACTTGCATCAAGAAGAAGAAACTAAGCAATCTAGCCAAATGCAAGCTCTCTTATTTATATGCATAAAGTGAAGTTATTAACCATTAGTTACTTCCACTTTAGACAAGCTTGTCCCCATGTCATAAGAGTGTCCCCCATGCTTATAAAGACATGTATACTTTTGAGAAAGCCATACCTTTATCTTCTTTTTATGCAAATTTCAAAAATTGTATAAAAAAGAGGAAACTTAGTTTAAATTTTATAAACTCAAGGTTTATAAAATATAAAATTTGTCTTTTGAGTAAAAGAAAAAAGGTTTTCAACTAGTCCAAAAAGTTGTGCATGACTTCTTAATTCATACCATATGAAATAATATAATGTTACTTGCTAATGAAAATTATTATTTCCATGAAACAAATAATTTCCAATTTAATTATAAGAGTTTTATTGAATATTTATTAAAATCAGTTTTTAATAAATAATCAATTATATCAAGTTGTTGTTAGTGTGACCCACTAGTATCATATGTTATTTAGCAATATCACTTTAATATGACTCTTGAGCATACTAGACCTTTCAATCTCCCCTCTTGCGCAAGACTCGTATTAGACTGATATAGACAGTGGTGAACGTCTAGCAACAGTTCACTGCCCCCAAGACCATATGACTTTCTTTGTTCCATTCTATCAATGCCCAATTCCCCAAAACCTCAAAGCTACAATTGGTGTATAAGTTAAGTTTATCAGTTATCCCTTTGCTACAGACATCATGTTGAACATGAGATTCGGATCGCGATCAATCTCATTAGTTATTCAACTTTTGGTAAGGCGCCTTAGATGTCTAACTCTCAACACATAAGAGGAACAAATCCCATCTTGACTACATAAGCCTCTTTCATAGTTCACACCATACCTGAAAATGGCTTTTATAACTGCCCGGTTAAGGAACAACATTTGACAATTATCAAAGCATAGTACTCCCTACACTTAAGTCCCACTATGTATCTCAGGTATTTTTAAAAATAGTTGCTTTTACATTTTTAAGTTTATTTTTAAAACAACAAACTTATTTTTATTTGATTCATGTCATTATGTAACAAAGCATGTATGATTCTATCTTCAAAACCATCTAGCATAAGCCACGAGTGAAAGATTTTAAAAGGAATGGGACCATAATCAACCTTATCATTCTTTAACACGATAGGGCCATGATCCGACCACAGCCTCGCAAGAACTACACCTACCATGTTAGAGTACCAATCCATAATGCCGTTTGAAACAGAAGCCGATCCAATTTGGTCATTTTAGTGCATAAATGATCAACTCTTGCAAACTGTCCCCCTTCCCAATTAACATCCAAAAAAACCATAATCTATTAAAAATTTGTTGAAATCATCCGCTCCCTATTGGCTAAAAGACGAGCCACTTCTTTCATTAGGTTTCCTAACAACATTAAAATCACCAAATATTATATATTCCCCTTGGTTATGACGCATAAAAGAAGAAATATAGCCATCGCTTTCTTTTCATGTCCATCTTATGGAACATAAATATTTACAAGAAAGCAAGTAGATCGAGACGCTACCACCTCGCCTTTCATGATTAAAACATTTGATATAGGAAAAAAAATTGTTTTAAGAAAACAACAAGATCCCAACTAGTAATAATTCTGCAAGAACGGTCGTGCGCAATACTACTAACAACATGAAATTGATAAAATAACCCCACAATGATTTAATCAAAAACAATTCCATCTTGGACATATTCAACTCCTGTACGCCTAACGCACTAATACAATAATCCATGCAAAGTTTTTAATCCACCCTTTTTTGTGGCATTTAACACCATGCAAATTAACAGACATGATATTCATTTAAAACTGACTTGCTCTCATTTTCTTTCTAACATACAAATCATATCTTCTTTGCATCTTGTGAAGTGATACCCAACACTTTACCAAACTCTACATACCTTTCCATTACTTAAATCAAATAATCCTCACTCATTTGTTTATTCCTATATTTCAAATAGTCATATTTTAATATAGGAAGTCGAAAATGATTTTTCGTAAGATCAAAATACGAGTGAAATGGAGTGTGAAACTTATAGCTATTAAACCCCGGAGGAGAAGACAAGGACCCATATTTGTTACAACTATCACCTTCACATAAGCCATCTCATTGACCCCTACATCATGTATATTGTTAACATTTACACTTCTATACAACAATCTATCCCTTTTATCAGTGGGTTCCACCACATAAACATCTTCATCCATATCGAACATACCATTTGGCATCAACTTGGTGTAACATCCAAATTCCTGGTATATTTAATTTTCATTTATCTTTTTGAGTTTTTTGTGGCCACGACGTGGGCTTGGCATCCTTACAACTTGGCAGCGCCAATAGTGTTTGTAAAGTAAATTTGGTGCCTCACGACGTGATATCTTGTCCATCACGTCGTGGCCACCGTCTGAGGGAAAAACCTTAATTTTTCGCGCTTTGGGCCTATTTAAAGGAAGTGATGGCTAGGGTTTCCTCCACCATCATCCTCCGTCACCTCCAAACGACCCTTTGGCCAAACCCTAGCCTCTTGAATCTTTTGAGATCATTTTCGCAAGTTCTTGGTGGTTTTAAAGGAAAAGAAGAAGTTTTGGTGCTTAGTTTCTCAAAGCAATCGCTCATCATCCTGGTGTGTAGCTTCTGGACTTCTTGTAAGTCCTCAAAGT